TCGTGTTCATGTTCTATTTATTACAAACTCAATTTATGAATGTGTCATTGTTAACTATAATTAATTACAGTACAGGTATTTCATAAATCATCCCTTATTCCTATTAAACATAGAGTCTTAATTATTATCCAACTTCCCTAACAAACCCCTTTGGCCTATAACCTAACATAATCTTCAACTGAACAAAGTACACAGATTAGATACATTCATCTTTTTAAAAAAAAGTCAAATAAAATATATTTATATCACACTATCCGATTTTTAACCAAATACTTGGATAGCATGCTTTTCGTCCTCTTGAAAAATTACACGCATGCGCAGTATCATCAGCTCATCGGTTCTCAAATCGGACGTGTCCGAAAGAAACGGTTCTCGGTTCAGTGTACTGGTGATCCGAAAACCGATGCAACCGCTCCAGCAGTGGGCTTGTATGTTCGTTATCCGGCTGCTCTGCTCGTGTTCAACTTCAGTTCTCTCTTCACAGCAGTTCAGTCAGTGTACTGTTTGAGTAAATCAATTAATCCGGGATATTGGTTTATTTCGACTCAGAGGGAGTGTCAGCCATGTTAAAAAAGTGAATAATGTAAGTAATTTGTGGATTAATGCTTACTGCAGACGCGAACCGTTTCAAATGATTCAGCCCGATTTGGTGAACTGGTTCAACCGGTTCACTAAGAAAGTTCACGGAGTGGATGAAGCAAGAAAGAAAGAAAGAAAGAAAGAGAGTTCACGGAGTGGATGAAGCAAAACTAACGCTTTCCATTGGAAACCCTTATTAGTTATTACTAATGTAACGTTACACACCCAGACAGGACCAGTTAGACCCGCAGAGCGCTAACTTTTCTTCTTCCCCTCAGTAGTCAGGTGAGGTGACTCAGACATTTTTTTTTCATTTATCAAACGCCACCCACAGCAGGAAACGGTAAAAAAAGAAGCTTATTAGTAAATTCTCCAGACCGGTTTTCATCTGCCACTGATACGAAAACAGTATTACAGCAAGTTCTCAAACTTGACCGTCAGGTTTGACCAGACAGGTAACGTATCTTCCACCTGTAGTAAGATTTACATCACATTTTCGCTCAGTAGCAAATCCATCAAATCTTATTTCTTAACATACAGCCCGCTAACACGTTTAAATGTGCAGTTATATTCGCGCAAAAGACGTAACTAATTAAATATATATATTGTATGGCAAGCCAACAGGGTCAGAATTATGCCAAAGATGAATCGCGTTGACATCCAAAATGCTGTATTTGGCATCGTTTAAAAAGGTATTAGTGACGTCAAACATGTTAGTACAATTTGTCTGACAAACTTTATTTTTAGTAGTGCTGTCAAACGATTAATCGCATCCAAAATACGTTTTTGTTTACATGTGTGTACTGTGCACACATGCATGTATATATTTAAGAAAAATATATACATGCATGTGTATGTATATATTTAAGAAAAATGCTTTATATATATATATGTAATTTTTTTTTAATTATATACATGTATGTGTATTTATATAGTATATACCTCATAAATATACACAGCACACCCATTTATTGGCTGCATCCGAAAGCTGTAAAAAGCTGCCTTCGGAGGATGCATTCCAAGGTAGGAAGGCATCACGGCACGTCTGAATCCAAAGTTAGCTTCACTTCCTGTCTCATGAGATACCTTCATCTGATCGATTTTTGAAGGCAGCATAGATGTATCTTTCGCTGTCTTTGATATCCCACCATCCCCTGCGTTCCATTTCATGATGGTTCAGCTAAAAACTAAAGATGCGTAAAAATCTGAAAGTTGCGTTTGGCGGTCAGTTTGTGTGTAAATGTATATTTCTGACTAACTTTTTGCACTTTTGCAAAGTTGTAGCGAGAAATCAGTATTATAGTAATTAAATATTTTAGTTATCACCCAAACGGTTCTATTTTGTTGTAGATCATTAACCGTTAACGCTGCCTGCGAAGTCATTGCCTGATAGGGCAGCAAGTCAGCTGCTTAAGCTTTCAGACGCAGCCAATATGCAAACTATTTTTTTTATTTTGGATGCAATTATTCGTGATTAATCGTTTGACAGCACTAATTTTTAGGGTAGGCGATTTCAGAGAGGCTAGCAATAGCAAGTTAGTGTCTTAATTAATTTGCTTGGAGCACACACATTCTTCTTTGAAGCTCTTACCAAGAGGAATAGACAGAAACCAGCTGTCAGTTGGTGTACAGTACGTGTTTGAGGAAGGTTTCGTGATACACTTGAATGGAATTCCTGGCAGGAGTCCATCATAAGCTTACTCAGAGAGGGATGAGTTCACTGTAGGAACAAATGTGTTCAAAAAACCAGAATGGTGATCACAGACATATGACACCATTTCTATTAAAGGTGGTTTAATGTTGACATACGCAACCACGAAATGGCTAAATTGTGAGAAATCGTTGCAAAATTACAAAGATCTGAAACAGACTACAAATATCCTTTAAAAAGGTCAACTAATAAAACATACAGCCAGCTTTGGCATGACCACATGCCAAAAAATATACTTTTTTTGTTTGTTTGTTTTCATGAATATACATTTTTACATTCCATTTGAGAATTTCAGAATTGCTCTCAACTGTGAGCTGCCCTCCAAAATGATAATCTTACCATTCATATATATGTGTACAACCATTGTCATAACATACAGCAGATCCAAATGGCTAATATTCTAAAAATACAGTATAAAACTATAACTTACATTTCCTTTGATGATTAGAGTACAAGGATACTTTTATAAAGATGAAATTCTCAAAAGATCAATTAAATCGCAGCTTTCTCTCATTTTGCCTTGATGAAATTCAAGTTCATTTATCTGTGCTCTTGGCCAAGATCTTTTTTTAATCCAATAAAATGGGTAGAACAACATTTGGCAGGAATGCTTTGGTAGGTTTTCTGTACCTGATAGTTATTGTTTGGAAGCCCTGTAAATAATTTAAGGCATTAAAGGGAATACAAGAAAATAATTCAAGAGAACTCCCCTTGAGCTTGCTCGTCTTGTCAGATGCTCCTATTATGGAGTGAAGAATTTGTAATTTTATGTCTTGGTCGGGTTCAGTTCTTCAGTTGTGTGTCGAAAACCCCCAAATCTGAAGATAGTAGGCACGTTTTAGCTTTTAAACGCAGAGAAAATGTGTGGAAAATGGAGAGGGAAGCTGCAGTTGATCCTGTTGAATCCTCAAGTTTTTAATGGTCACCAATCAATGTCCCAGTGCTCCGACAATAAAAAGATGCCACATTGGGCTACCAAGACTCAACCACTTCATTCTTGTTTCTTAAAACAGGTTATTGCCAATCCCTTAAATGGCACAATAAGAGCATAGACGGAAAGCAGTTTCTTTTCCAATGTGTCCTACAGAGAGGGAGTTGTTCGGTTGGTTCAGTGTTGAGCATGTTTGAACAGGGTTCATGAGGATCTGGGTTAACACCAGTCAGCTATGTAGTCAAAGTCTGCAAACATCTCCTGCTCGCTGACTGTCAGAACCCTCGGCTCACGAGGTGGAGTCAATATCGGTGCCTCTGAGGTGAATTCATCGTCAAAGTTACTAACATCTTCACGGCCTTTGATAGTCGGCAAAAATGGAGGCCGGGTCTTCTTTGCCAGCAGTGCTGCCCAATCCATATTCTGAGGAAGAATAAACAAACGTGTGGTAAGGAGATTTTCAGTGACATTTGAAAATAAAAAAACAGGTTAAACAGATGGCCTACTCTGAAAAACGGATGCCTCTTTACTTCCTCTGCATCTCCTTCCCCAGCGCCAAGGCGCCGCTCTGGATTTCTCCTTAACAACTGGATAAGAAAGAATGTTTAAAGCTTATAAACATACTTGGCTGGTCAATTAAATGGAGAATATAAAAGTGCCAAAAACGAAGAGTCTTTTCTAATAAAGCTGTGTTGTGATTTTAAGGATTGCCTTAAACAATAAAATGAGCTGTAGTCTAGGAAAATTGGTTTAACTGTAGCAGGACACATCCAAACATACCCTTCTCATTATGGAAATGGCTTCTGTGGAGAGGAACCTTGGATAGCGAACTTCATCATTAACAATACTGTCAAACACCTCCTCTTCATCATCACCAGGGAATGGGGACTGTAGTTAAAATAATATTAAGAATATTTAAGATAATGAAGTACTGGAAAAAAATGTCTATTCAAATTCTAATTATTGTAGTTAATAATTATTTAATGTGCAATTAGTGTAACTAAATTATGCAATTGCTAATTATGCATTTAAAAATACACACAATTCTTTGTGCCCTCTGACCTGTATGTATATTCACAATTTAAGACTGAAGTATCACATTTGTGTTTTTTTTTTAGTTTGCAACCACCACAAGCAACACACCTAACCACATTGAGAACGGCTCACATGCGATGCAGTCTTGCTTTAAAAAAAAAAAAAAAACAGTTGGATGGACTGCAACAAAATGGAACAGAATGCAAGAAACCTAAAAAGACGTTTTGCAAAGTTTGAACTGATTGACACACTGTGTTAAAAACATGGTGCCCATAGAGCGAGACGCTAAAAAACAGTGAGACGTCAAATAGCACAGATGGAATGTCTGAACAAGTTCTGTGCGAACGGTCCATTGGTCTACATCAGGCAGGTTGACAAACTCTGTTGCATGGATTGCTGTGGACTGTAAACCAGTGACAGACTTTGGTTCAATTATTCAGAAATACTAACAGTTCTCAAGTCACTAAAATTCTCAAGTTACATTTTATGACTTTTTAAAGATTTACTCATCTGAAGCAATAATGTAATATATAAATTCTTTTAAATCACGCACATTAACGTAAATAATCTTTTTAGGGGTCAAGCAATTAATTTAATTTACTGTGATATGATATATTTAATTAGTTTTTTTTTTAAAAACCAACCGACAGTACAAGTTAACATGAACATTAATTAAGGATCAATCAAGTATCCTTCCATCTATCATACCTCTCCAACCAACATCTCAAAGATGAGAACTCCCAGACCCCACCAGTCCACCGCTCTTGTGTACGACGTCTCAGTTAAAACTTCTGGTGCTAAGAACTCAGGAGTGCCACAGAACGTACTAGTGCGATCTCTGAAGCCCATTCCTACATGATTGGAAATGGAATGAGTTACACCCACATTACTGACAACGCATAAATCACACAAAGATAAGTAACATTAGTAATAAAAATACATTATATCTACCTTCTTTGCAGAGACCAAAATCTGCAATCTTGACATATCCCTCAGTATCCAGCAAAAGGTTATCTAGCTTCAAATCCCTGCAGAATAAAGTTCATGACAGTCACATGTGGTTCATAAAACGTTCATGAAGCCTTCTGTTTTTACATCCAGGACTGACACTTACCTGTATACTATTTTATGGTCATGCAGAAATTGCAGCCCCAAGACTACACAAGCAGCATAAAAACTAAGGACATAAAAACAAGTCATTTCAGATGGAAATCCAATTTTTGGCTTTTTAAGTGGGAAACGATCATATCAAAGTGACAGCAGCAGTAGTAAATTCAGTCACTCACACAGAGCGCAGTTCAGAGAACACGTCTGCATGAATGTGCATCATCAGGTCTCCTCCTGCTGCGTACTCCATGACGAAACACACATGCTCCTTGGTCTGGAAACAAGCGAAGAGGTTCACCAGGAACGGATGCCGAACACTGTTCACTGTCTCAAAGATCCTCTTCTCACACATGAGGCTGTGGATAGATATTAATATGAAGCATAAATGGATAGTTGACAAAACACGTCCATTAACATACATTTCTTTCTTTCTGGTTAAGATTTAGATGAGACATACTTACTTTAGGTGCTATATTTAAGATTTTCTACATCATATTGTCATTCAGTGAGACGAATGCTTTTTTTTAATTTATTTTTTTAATAAGTAGAATCATTCCATTTAGTCTGTCAATTAACATGGCCACATTAACTGCATGCATAGTAATTATAACAGAATATATGTTTCAAATTGAATGTTGCCAAATGGAATGTTGGAATGTCAATTGGCCAAATGCATATAATGTTGACTATCTGTGACTACTGATAATGTATGCACATTTCTATATAGGTTATATATACAGTAGTCAACATTTGAAGTGGATTATCCTAAAACCAAAACAATCCCCGTTCTTGTCTTCGGACAACTTTGATGAACTTTTTTGATCCACTTCAAATGTTGACTACAATATATATATAAAAAAGTTTGAATTTCATTTTTTAATTGTAGCCTCTTTATTAGAAAGATAAGACATGAGAGAAAATCATTGAGGAGAAAATGGAACACTGGAAATCAGGAAATTACAAGTTACAGCAAGTTAGAAAGCTGTTAGCATGAGGACTTACAGTGTCAATCTAAATAAGTTAATCTAAAATCAATTACTGACAACAAATATACATATACATTTATATTAATAAATAAAATTCTTTAAAATTTTACACACTGCCAACTAAAACGTTATTTAAATGGCATTTAAGTAAAATGGACTAAAATGAATGAATGTGACGTGCTAAAATACTAACTACACTTTATAAAAAGACAAAAATTGTAAAAACACTCTGTATGGTGGCTCCAACGTGTCTATAGAGTACAACTCTGACTCTTTGGTCTTAATAATAACAGGAAATAAAACAGGAGCAGAACAGTCCCCACTGTATACGATATCTGATGCCTCTACAAATGCTTCAAGCATCGTCATAAGTTGTACATTTATCTGATTTAAACACACATAGATAGCCTTTACCTGTCCACTTCATCCCTTGCAACAATGTCACCTTTCTTCAAAGCTTTAATGGCAAACATTTCTCCAGTGGTCTTGTACTCCGTAAGTAAAACCTGTTGAATAATTAAAGAGATGAAACTGTCTGCAGGAATCACATCACAAGGTGGCAGCATGTAGAGATAATCCTCAATATTATTACACAAATGGTTAATGTACTGTACATTTATGGCGCAATTGAAAATTTTACACAGCTTGCCTTATTGCATATGTGAAAGCAAGTGTCAGTTTACCTTTCCAAAGTGGCCACGCCCCAGAACAGCGACACATTTGAAGTCTGTCAAACTGAATTGAACTTCCTCTTCTTCCCTAAATGCATGACCGCACACTTTGAGCATTTGAATACCATTAATGTATGCATGTTTATATGTAGCCGTGATGTCAGTTATCCAAAAAATGGGGAACAAACTACCTTATTTCAGTTTTTTGTTGAACTTCGGTCAGTTCTAGGTCAGGCTGCTCATTTTCAACCAGACTGTCATAATCTGGTTTAGCTACTGTGTTGTTCAGGAATTCAAAGGTCGCTAGGGCATCCTGTAGGCGAGAGGCATTTAAGAGTCAGTACTGCAAGAGAACTCGCCTTATTAATAATACTTGCCTCAAAGGGACAGTTCAGACAAAAATTAAGATTCTGTCATCATATTGTTCCAAATCCATAAGAATGATTGTTGCCCATCAAACACAGAAAGACATGTAGGGCAGGATGTTCAAGCTGTTCTTTAATATACAATCTAAGTGAATGGTGACCAGAGGTAGTCAAGGACCAAAATATGACACCATTTAAATACCATCTACTTGTGCACTAAATTCCAAGTCATATGATTGCAAACATTTGCTTTATAATCTTATTAATGTGATTACTTAAACACACATAGACAGCATTTTTCTAAAAGACAAAATACAGTCTCACACTAGAGTTCCCAGCACTTACATATTATTGCCCTTTTGTTGGTATTGTCCTCATTAGTACGGTAAGTCGCTTTGGATAAAAGTGCCTGCTAAATGACTAAACGTAATATAACATAAATGTAATGTGATTATTTTATTGAATATGCCAGTGGTTCTCAACCTTTCTTTATTTACAGGTACTAGGAGTGTCCATAGATTTAAATAAGTAACTAAAACAATTATAAATAAAATGTCAGCATTCCAGAGGTTTTAAGGTTCTTCTAAACAACCTTAAACCAATAGGTTTTTTTAACCAATGAATGTACACGACTCTTTCCTGTCATTAGTGATACTGGATAATGAAAATGATTTTTAAAGATCTTTTCTCACCATTTCTTCCCAATCAAATATTTTAGGGATTAGCATAACTATTAAAAGTGCATATCTGTGTTTTAGGATTTTTCTGTGACTTCTTCAGGCAAAGAAAGCACACATTACAGATGAGATCTCTAGAAATATCCAAAAGTTGTTTAGTTGCTTTTTTAAAGCTTGTTTTGTCTTATTTTAAATAGTTTGAACTCATCTTGAGGCCCCCTTGGAAGTTTGCCAAGGCCCCTAGTGGTTCTCAGTACCCTGGTTGAGAACCACTGGAATATACACATAATATTCAAATTGAGCAGCTCACATTCACACATTATCTGTTAAAATACAGAACCAACAACATTTGAAATAATTGACATCAAACTTCATATGAAACAACTTGGCATGCCATATTTAAATAAATGTGAAGGTTAATGAGATTTCTCAAATCTCTTACACCTTCATGTGTATTTAAATAATCTGCTGCCAAGATTATCAGTAAATAATGACTTAAATGTATTTTCCTCACCCAAAGCTTTCCACCCCATTTTCATCCCATCCCCTTTCATTGTATAGAAAAGAATGGTATCAGCATTTAGCTAAACTTTTCCTTTTGTGTTCCACAGGAAAAAAAAAGTCAGATGGGTCTGGATCAACAAGAGTGAACCATGATATCTTTCAGTTCTGGGTGAACTATTCCTTTAATGCAAACACCCCATTACCTGCACCTCTTTTCCATCTGCGATCTTATCTGGTGATACATTTTCCTCTATCTCGATGGAGTGCCGTTTTGAGGAAGGGGTGACTGGTTTGTCAAAGTCTAATTTGGTCACAGTGGGGTCGCTGAAGGAGAGAAGACAAATCATAAAATATCTGGGGTCTGGAAATGTACAAAATAGCTACATTATGGAATGCAAACACTGGGATATGGAGAAGGAATGTTAAGTCATTTCATTATCTAAATATAGTGCACCAATTATGTTTCCAGACAGATTAGTCATTGTTTATCAAAGACTGTGGAATAATTTGAGGGCTTTCTGCTTTTTTTTTTAGGAGACGAGTCTTTGTGGTTGAGCTGGAATGAATTGGTACACATATGTACCTGGGTAGGGAGTGGGCGTCTGGGTGGCCGATGGGTACTGTTTCAGAGCTCAATGCTGAGCCCAGATCAGCCTGAGGACTGAATGAGGTATTGACTGACGGAATGGCTCTTCTCACCAATCTGCCCCAGGTGGCGATGTTAATGTTCATCTGAGGGGCACGCAGGAACGTTTTACCTGAGAGGAACAAGGTTTATGTATGAGATGAAGAAAGCAGAAGCAAACTTCTGAACAGCAGATAATATTAGTTCCTAGTGTGCTGTTTATGTAGGCACTCTATTAATGCACTGTAGACACAGTTGTTCCAAAAGGTCTAAGATACCTTATTTTAGCAAAATTATGAGACAAGATAGCATTTATCCTTCATGGACAATGCAATCCCAGAATGCTCTGTGACAAGCTCAATGAGAAAGCAAATCCAGGATGGCTGAATATTTGTGAAAGACTGTTCTACATTATCTTTCTCAACAAGGAGCTGGTAGCATCATTGTTTCTAAAGGAATTAAATCCACAGCTTCACTGTTAATAGAGAAACGCGGCAAAACGGTGGTAATTCATACATACACAGCCTCTCTCTCTCTCTATCTGTGTCGTAAATGAACAGTTGATGAATCACACTTTTCTGAGAATAGACTTGAAGTGGAGATCGCTAAACTGCAAGCTAACCGCTATTTTCAGAAAGCAAGCGCGTTTATCCACAGTGAAGAGAAAGCGCGTGCACATGGTTGCCAGGTTGACAAAGATAAGTAGCACACTTAGCAGATATTTCCGTATTGCGCAAGTGTAAAGCTCTGTTTTGGGGTTTACGTCTCTTTATATCAGGCAACCCAGTTGTGTTCCTCTGCGGCCAGATTATTAACAGATGCTCTATTCATTCTTTTTTAGAAACCTTGCACTTTTCTACTCAATTTTAAACGTGGTCCACTGCTGCACACGTGCCACAATATCGATACAGGGCCAGCTATATCGATACTCATATCGTCAAATCTCTGTGACGATACATTGTCGTATCGATATTTTGAACACAGCACTAGTTCACACCAGGATGAATATTCTGTTGGATAGAACAGTGTGATAAACATATTGCTACTTTTCTGTGTGCCACCGACTGTCAGAAACTTAATTTACATGTTCATTCAGCCCGTTTGTAGCTTTTTTTCCCGCATTGCTCTGAACAGACAAATCACATGCAAAAACCAGACCAAATTTACGTGCCAAAACATGTGTTGACGTGACAGGCCTTGAGATAGCCTTATAACATTATTGTGCTGTAAGCTTAGCAAAATGCTAACAGAAAACTTTTGACTTGAGTCTCCCATGGAGAGCACTATTTGTGAGACTGGCACAAATTTGAAACCGAGCTTAAGCCTCTCAACCAGCTATTCACCTTCTTTGTTATTAATGGTTCAAAAAAGTTCAAACGAAGGTCAAAGTTCATTCTGACTTCACTGTGTAAACACCGGCCCCACAGCAGTGCAATATTGAACCACAGAACTGTGTCAAGAGTAGGCTGCTTAATCTAATCTGTTTGAGTGAACTTGTTAAGCCTTCTCAGCACTGAAGCATATTTGCCACTTCATAACCTTACCTTGCTGTTTGGAGAAGATTTTCTTTTGCCTTTGTAGTTTAGGTCGCCTCTCAATAACTGGGTTAAAAAATGTAACCTGTATTCAAAGAGGTAGAGATAATCTCAATAAAAATATCCTCTACAGGGCCATCAAACTGGTATATTGCATGTCTGTGTGTGATGACAAAATGAAAGTACCTCAGCAAATAGTGTTCCTTGCGGTTCCAGGTAAAGGCACATGCCATGACGCTGGTTGTCCAGGAAGTCCTCCAGCCGTAAAAACTTAACGATATATATATATATATATATATATACACACACACACACACACACACACCTTGAAGTGTATAAATACAGCCTTGGTGAGCATAATTGACTTTTAAAAACATTTAAAAAATGAAAAATTCTGTATAGTTTCATTACATTGTTGTATTGAGTGGTTGCCAGGGCTTTGCTATAATTGCTAGAAAGCTATGGGTAGTTGCTTGCAAAAACTGTACTTCCGATCGCCAAATAATGCATAATGAGGACTAGAAGTGCCAGTAAAAAAAAAATTAAATAATCAATATATTAGTTTAAAAATAAATGAATGAATGAATAAATACAAAATAAATAAATCACTTTTCAAATTGACAAAAGACTTTTAAAAATGTGTTCAACTCAATTAAAATGTAAAATTATAGATAAATGGATCAAAATATAACTCGTTTTAAAATGCCAGTTTATAATTGTATTTAGGAATGCATTGGTCAAGTGCTTTTCTTTCTTAATTTATTGAACAAGTAAAAATGCCGAACAGTTACCACTTATGAGTATTACTAGTTCACAGCCAATGGTTTGACATTTACAGGTCTATTCAGAGTCTGTCTGCCATTGCACAACTGCTGATTAGAACTCTCACGTTGCCTTCCATGAGATTAAACGCTTATGCCGTCACATAGCAAAAAGCAAGCCCAAACCCACAGACGTGTGTGTAAATTCATCCAATAATTAACCCTAAAAAATAAATAGAATACAAAGCAAACACAACATCAGCCCATTTCTTAATGTAGAGGAATGGAGATACATTATAAAGGACAAGCTGAAAAAACAGAGAAACAATACTGATTGTGAACTATGAACAATGTCATAAACATAAAAGCAAACTGAGGTTTGCTTGTGTTGAGAGTGACTCAATAACAAACATATAGGGAAAGGGAGAGAAAGAGAGATATTTATGTATGTGAGTGAAGAGATTATGAACGATGACTTCTGATCTGCCTTGTCTGAGTTTCCATAAGAACTGGGTCAAATCTGGGATTAACATTTCCAAAGTTAATTGAGAGCGGCAGGAATGGAGAGCATGTGTGTATATGTGTGCTCATCTACTCATGTGTCGAGAGGATTATGGGATAAGATTGTGGTTTGACAAGTGTGTTTTATGCAATTTCTCATGCATTACCCTGTCAAGTTCCAGCGTGAACTTCTGGTCCCAAGACTGGTTGCTAACTGGCTTCCAATGGGTCTGTCCCACAACTGTGTTGTCCAGCTTCAGAACGGCACTGATTTCATCTGTCATAACAGTACAAAACAACTCTTAGTCTATTACTTTAGAAAAGAAACATGAATTAGGGATTTGTATTTAATACATTGATTTAATGTGATTTATTATTTAAAAAGCTGTGATGAAAATAAAAATACACCCAAAGACATTAGTCATATGATCAATATGATATTAGGCATACGATCAAAATAATAATAATAAAAAAAAAACAGACTATAAAAAACAAATAAAAACAAATACATATATTATAAAAATAAAAAATAAATAAAAATAGATTCTTTGATTCCATGTTTTTGAAATTGCAGGGAGATAATCTAAGCAAATGGTGATATATGCTATTAATTGTGATAATTCAGTTATTAATCATGTAATGAATTGATAGCAATTGAATTCAATGTAAAACCGTAATAAATTAAATTAAATGTTTTGAATTGACTGACAGTCCTACTACTACCCAAATCCATCTAAAAGTTTGGGGTTGGCAAGATTTTTTTTAATGTAGCAAAGTCTCTTATGCTCATCAAGACAGCATTTGTTTGATCAAAAATACAGTAAAACAGTAACATTGTGAAATTTACAATTACAAATTTAAAAGTAACTGTTTTCTGTTTTAAAAATGTAATGTATTCATGTGATGCCAAAACTGAATTTTCAGCATCATTACTCCAGTCTTCAGTATCACATGCGCCTTCAGAAATCATTCTAATATGCTGATTTTGTACTCGAGAAACATTTCTTTTTATATAATTTATATATATATATATTTTAGTTGAAAGAAAAGCTGTGCTGCTTAATATTTTTGTGGAAGCTGTGATAATTTATTTAGGATTCTTAGAAAAATATAAAGCTAAAAATAACAGCATTACTTTTAAATAAAGATCTTTTATAACATCAATGTCTTTACAGCCACTTTTGATCCATTTAAGGTGTCCTTGTTGAATAAAAAGTAGTTATTTCTTTAAAACAAAAAAACATCATACTGACAAACTTTTGAATGGCAATGTATTCACTTGCACTCCAAGTCAGAACAAGTGTTATTTTCCATATAAAATAACCCTGTATAGAATAAAAGCATAATCACGGCAGAGACAATGAGTGAAGATGGAAAAAGATGGCAAATTGCAGCATTTCACTTTGTAAACACAGTCTAGTGTTTTTGAATTTAGTTTACATTTTTTTTGGCAACTCTTATTTGTTCTGCTTCACAATGAAACGGTGAAGTACAATGGCCATTCAAGATTCTAAGGAATGATATTAACTTGGATTTTCAACACGCATAAAATAAATAAATAATTAAAGCCACTCAACTGGACAGATCATCGGACTTGGAGAGGGTTCGGCTGCTGCCAGATTTGTTCTTGTTTCCTCGGCTCATAAATGAGGAGCGTGCCTCACTGGGGCTCCAGCCAGGCAGAGAAACAGATGCTGTCTTAGAGCGACCTGGGATGTTCTCCAGGAGGTCCTGACAGCCCATGAGCCTTACGTCTAATGTGCCTGTAGATTTACAACAAACCCAACTCAGAGTCAAAGTTCTGTATGATCGGAGATGTAAATCACCAAACACATCTATTCTGATTAACACAAGATAATAAGTGTGGAAGCAATTGTAAATGTCTATTTCAAGACACATGCAGTGGTTCTAGAGCTATATATGGAAAGCACTACGAGTCTATAATGGTAACGTAAGCGCTCTCATTCTCCTTCAGAGTGAAGGTCAAAGTTGTGTGTGATAAAGCCAAGGGTGGTGGAAGGGACCACTGGGGCCAAGTGCGTAAACACAGTGTGAAAATCTGAATGTAGTTCTTACATGCCTAAACTCAGACAGCTGTTGCCCCTCTCAAACAGGGCTGAATGCACAGTACCATGTGTTGTGAAAAAGAACTGGAGAGCCTATTCACACTGGGAGTGAATATTGGCAGTGAACAAGACTATAAATTGAAACAATGAATTCCCATGGATCTATTCATGGAGATGAAATGTGTGAAACTGGCAGAATTTCCCCCCATGTATAGGTTGATTTTTATTTTTACTTCTTCCAACGCCATCTACCAATAACATTTAAGCATATGGATTTTGTCCTATATACTCCAGTACAATTGGGGGTGCTATTTTATCACTGAACAATAAAAGAAGACTCTTTCTTATAGTGGAATATTTGCTTTCTCTTTTTTTCTTTCAAGTTGGTTTACTAACCTTTAAATGAATAGTTCCCCCTGAAACCCATAACTTTTGTTCAAAACACAAATGAAGATATTAGTAAAACCTGAAAGACTGAAATACTCCCAAAACTTTGATGCTTCAAAAGTTCATAAAGAGATCATAAAAGTTATTCATGTGAATCGCAGTGTAGTCTTTATATGATGAATATAATTTATATACTGTATATATATATATATATATATATATATATGAAACCGATTTAATTTAGGCTTTGATTCACATATAAACATTGATCAATGCACATACATTGAGTACATCAAACATGGTCAATGGGAGTTCAAACATACTTGCTTAACGTGCGACAACAAACACCATTGGTTCTTGTGCAACAAGCGAGCACCTTTGAGCTTTCATTGACCATATCTGATGTGCATTGATCAATATCTTATTTGAATAAAAGCTATGAATCAATTCATAAGGATTACTTTTACAAGCTCTTTATGAACTTTTTGAAGCATCACAGTTTTGGTGGAATGGACTTTCAACGGAGGCACAGAAATCTCTTAATTTGGGTTTTGAAGATGAACCTCTATGTTTTATGAATGGCAGACTATCCAAAAAAAATGCATTGCGCCACTCCAGGTGAAGTAAATTTGGTTTTCAGACAAATATTTGGTGAAAAATGGTTTTGTTTTGTGATTCACTTCACTTCTGCACTTTGCTCCCAGTACAAATAGGTTTGAACTGTTACAAGTTGTCATTTCTAAAGCCAATCTAAAATGGGAACAGTAAATACTATGTGACTGTACGGATTTAGTTTTGTTACCGGTCAGAGCAGCAGGTTTGGCCACAGTGCTGTACTTGTTGCTGGTGGACATGATGCTATGGCGGGGACTGAGAGGTGGGGAAGACACCATTGCTAACTCCTCCATAATCAGGTTGCTCTTCGGGTGATTTTTGGGCAGCTCACTGAGTCTCTGCTCCAGAGAGAACTTCAGAAGGTCTAGCTTCTGACTGGACTCATTCAAGCGGGCTTGAGCCTGCAAGAAAGTTAGACAGTGCTTACAACTGCATACAGATATAAATACTCACATTTTGAATGTGACCGTGCTGCCTCAGAGAACAAGGATTCAAATTTCTGTGACAAATGATCTTATACCAGAAACTGTTGTAGATGATGTTTTTTATTACTATTATTATAAAATAATAATTTTAATACTTTAAAATAATAATTACGGTAAAATACGGTGAAATAATATTTTTTAATAAATACTTTATTTTTTGTTTTATTTTACAGTACAATAGTACCATTTCAATATATTTATTTTATAATTTTTTTAAAGAAGCACAACAAAAATCTGAAATACTATTATAAGTTTTTCCAAACCATTCAATCCTAAAAGGATGGTTCCCATGAAAATGTCTTCAGAGTGAAGTCAGTTTTTCAGCTTTCATAAAATTATTTTTATTTTCTATTCAGATCAGATGTTCATCCCATTAATTCCAGATTGATTAATTCTTTCAAAATAGAGCTATTCAAATCATGTGGAGAAAATACTTGTCTTTTTCTATTCGCAATATCACAGAAAAACAACACTTTGCAATATCGGGTTTCTCCGATATCGTGCAGCCCTAAAATGAACCTCTACCAGGTGAGCAAACAGGAACATCTTCAAATACATAATGATTCAGAGGCACACAAATTTCTTTCAGTGGCCAGTATTCTGATTAACTGCTATCATGCGAAACTAGCTTGAATGTTTTTCCCTGCATATGGAGTCTATCGTTGTCAAAGAAAGCTGCTTCCTGTGAGGTAGCAGGCGTGACATTTTTATGTATTGTATTACAAAACAAATCACTTAAAACACATTTTAAAATGAAAATTAATTCCAACAGACAGGAAACTGACAACAGGAATAAAACAATAGTTTTACAGACCATTTAACCATCCTGAGTCATACCACAATTATGGTGTAAAGTGAGAAAAGCTCTAAACATTTGGCCCCAGAGGCAATTAAAAGTGCATCATTAAATGAATAACTGGATTAAATAGATGCAGACATGAAAGTGTTTATATGAAGCACAGGAAAATGATAAAGAGCGACTATAAAAATCATTACAATTTAGAAATGGAGCCGACCTCTGAATGAGCTTTCTTCTCCGTCACTTTCCCTGTTCCCAGCAGTTTCATCACATTCTTGGCACCTTCTGCCACAGCAGACTCTATCCGGAAGTGATGTCGGAGCTCTTCTATCCTCAGGTCCAGAGGACTGATTATAGGCTTGCTTGAAGTCACTGCAAACATCAGATTTATGTTTTATTACCACACTCCTGTCCATTTAAATTGCAAATCACAGATATAATTACAGAGGAAATCAGCTAGACCACATACAGTCATTGTTCTCATAGTTCATCTCGCTGGTCTGGCTGGCTTTGAGAATCTGCATTCGAATGAACTCTATCTTTGTCTTGCTGTCTTGAAGCATCTGTTGAGCTGCAGCGAGCAGTTTGCGGTCCTACAGATGAAGACACAGGAGGAAAATAAAAACAGAAGAGGAGTTCAGAAATGAACAGAGGAATAAAATATGCACAAACGGCACTTTATAATGACAAGTATTTCTTATTGCAGATCCACAGTTCATAAAATCAATTATACAAATATAAACAGAAAAGGAGATATACACCTTCAAATAAATGTTGTTCTTTTGAATTTCTATTCATAAAACAATCCTAAAAAACAACAACTTTCTTCTTAATATTTTTGTGGAAAGAGTGATACAACTGCACAACACTGGTAATAATAAGAAATGATTCTTGAGTACCAATATTAAAATGATTTCTGAAGGATCCTGTGACACTGAAGACTGAAGTAATGGGTGTTTAGCTCTGCCATCCCAGGAGTAAATTATTCAAAATACAAGTTGTTTTAATTAGTAATAATATTTCACAATATTACTATATTTTTAATCAAATAAATGCAGCCTTTGTGAGCATATAAAAAGATTAAAATAATCTTATAGACTCCAAACTTTGGAACAGTAGTGCACAAATCAAGATTTCATTTCATTTCTATTTAAATGTACATAAAGTAATGATTGCTTTATATATTTCAATATTTCACAACAGATTACTATGCAGCACTCATGGTCTTATTGTTTGCATGTCAGGGACTACATCCTCAAGCAAGCAGAAGGAAAACAATGGTATACATCCCTAAATATTTGAACATTAAATCACATTATTTTGTATTTAACACATTAAGTTCCCTTTTAATGCAACCTAAAAATTCCTTTAAACATATCCTTAAATACTGGTCACAACCCTAAAAATTGATTTAATAAAAATGTGTTCTGATTTTTTAAAAATGTATTACTGTTTATAAAAAATGGTCCTTGAGGCCTAACTGTATTGTAAACATAGTCACACTTGAAGGGGCTGCCTGGCATACCAAACACTCATTAGTTGTAACTACATTAACAATAGACTATAGCATGGCCTCTCATACCTTAATCTTAATTCTTATTCTTAATATTTCTCACATTTTTTAAAAGTGAAATCCACCAATTAAAAACAAAGCCATACATAATGTGTTTGAAGTGTAAAGAGATGTTTCCTTGTCACACCAAGAATTCAAGTCTAGTGACTGTGAGTCAGGAACCTCTATGGACTAAACTTCCTGTAAGCAGCCATTAGAGGCTGACGTTACCTTAGAGGCCTTTCCTCCGGATATCTAAAGCAGCTGGGAACCTGCATACAGGACTCACCACTTAAAAAAAAACAAACAGTTGATTTGTTTTTTTTTTCCCCACAGTCCAATCAATGGTGCGAGTTTGGGAAGGGACTACCTGTTTGGCCTAGCATTGGAAGACACAGAGTTAGCAATTCCCTTTGGTGCCACAAGTGGTGCAAAAAAGGCACCTTTGAAATTCTTGAACGGAGCAGTCGTGGGCTTAATCAGTGCGAGTCAAATGAAGTCATGTGCCATAGTGCTGAGTATGTTTTTCTGTTAAATCACCAAAAAGACTGTGCTGATTTAACAGAACTCAGAACATCTTAGATGCTAATTTTAGCCACAGAGCCTCTTTAATTAACAGCGTCGTTCTTGATAAAAGGGAGAAAAGGAGGATCAGACACTCTAGACCGAAGCCAAGCCAAACCAAACCATGAGAACGATTCTGCTGATCCTACATTTATGTTTTGAAACACACTACATGTATAGTAACTAGCACCAAAGCCCGATTTCCTGAGGGGGAGGGTGGAGAAACATAACTGAACTGTTCTATTCCAGTTCTCCTTAATGTCAGCTGCACCCTAGGGGTTTACAACCATGACATTGGCATATGTGTATAAATGAGTCTAGTCTGGCTTCCTTTACCTCTTTTGGAAATAGGAGAGGAGATTTCACTCAATTTTAGGACATGTTTGCTAACATCTGTTTTCATTTCTTGGGATGAATCTTCTCTCTCAAGATCTTTAAGAGATCAAACGGCTTATCCTCTCTGGGAGTAAAAGCAAAGCACAGTATTTAGTGTAATATAAAGACGACGTGTATTTTTGAAATACTTTTCCTATTCCATCTTAATATGTAGAGGTTACAAGTTTTTCACTTTAAAGTTGATTTAACTGAAAAATGTAAACAGTGGCGCCATCAAAACATTCTAAACAGCCCAACACTGCATTGGCTCAAGTGGTATGAGTCTGGGGCAGGACTACTTAATAGCAAAATGTGGGAATGTTTTATTGAATGAATTATTTTTGCAATTTTGTTTTGTAACAACACAAAAAAAAGAGATTCCATGTCCATGTAAATAACTGTTGGTACCACAAGCAAATACATTAGTCTACACAAACCACACACCACAGATCCTCTAAATGCAGACTACTACCTTGGAAGAGCCGTTGGAATACATCTGAATCATATTTTCCGCTCCCTGTTTCACTTTGAGCTCGATGTCGGCCTGTTTCTTCAGAGCGGCCAGTCTGCTACTGTTGGTGGATGTCCGAGCTTCACTCTTGGGGGTGTCTGGGGTTAGCGGGTACTCTGACATTGAACAAACACAAATCGACATCAAAGAGTTAACAAAACACTAAAAAAAACAATACAGCATGTTGAGAATGTTGGAGAAATGACACTAAACATATGAGCAGGAAACACACACAAGATTGGTGAACCCACACTTGATCCTTTAGTGCAGGTAGAAAATGCTAAATGCAGGACAGCTAGCATTAGCACGCTGTCATTTTTATGAAAGTAAACCACAAACAACTACACTGGAAAAAAATAAAATGTGACTGATGTGGCACATGATGCTAAAAGCTTTGATTTTGTTTGAAAACCTTTAGATAAAGGTCTTACAAAGCCAGGCTTTTAACTAAACGGCAAAAGGCCCAGTCCAGATTATAGGTAATTCTAGCCACCTACTTACAAGAAGACATAAATTATTTAAGGATTAGCTCACTTCCAGAATAAAAAAAAAAAATCTGATAATTTACTCACACCCATGTCATACAAGATGTTCATGTCTTTCTGTCTTCAGTCGCAAAGAAATTAAGGTTTTTGAGGAAAACATTCCAGGATTTTTCTCCACAGTTTCAATGCAGCTTCAAAGGGCTCAACATGATCCCAGTCGAGGAATAAGGGTCTTATCAAGCAAAACGATCTGTTATTTTCTAAAAAAGAACAATGTATATACTTTAACCACAAATGCACGTCTTGCACTAGTTCTGCGTTGCGCGTCCGCAAATTCAAGCATTACGTAAACACGTTGGAAAGGCCATGCTTGGTTAGCTCTTCGTCTGTGTACTCCGGTTCAGAAAGGAAGGGTAGGGCAAAAAACTCAATCTCATTTTCTCCTCCAACTTCAAAATCGTCCAACATGGTCGTTTTACCTTTTTTGTAAAGGGCATTTGACTTTCTTTGCATGTTCGCTTTGTAAACACTGGGTCGGTACTTCCGCCTATGTCATGCTTGACCTTTCCAACGTGACTACATAATGTGTGAAGACGAGCATTTGTGATTAAAAAGTATATATATTTATTTTTTTTAAGACAATGACCAATCGTTTCACTAGATAAGACCCTTATTCCGCAGCTGGGATCGTGTAGAGCACTTTGAAGCTGCATTTAAACTGCAATTTGGACCTTCAGCCTTTTGGCCACCACTGAAGTCCATTATATGGACAAAAACCTTAATTTCTTTACGACTGAAGAAAAAAAAAAGACATGAACATCTTGGATTACACAGGAGTGAGTAAATTATCAGGAAATCTTTATTCTGGAAGTGAACTAATACTTTAAATATATAGTTAATGAATATTTTGTTTAATTACCATTAAGCTAAGCACCTCAGGTTAAAACCGTTTATGTTAAATCAGCCAGTGAGATTAGAGCTTGCTAGATCAAGAAAGTACTTTCTATGTTGCATATGAAAGAGACAGTCAGTAAATGGTCTGTGATGTCTGAGGTTGAGACTACATAAAGAATATTTTTTCCCCTACCAGAGAAACGTGAAGTGTGTTTTTCTTTCTTTCTTTTTTAAACAATGGTCTAATGCTTACACAGAGGGTGAAAAAACCCTAAGGATATATTTGTTGTGATAACAAAAGTAATACTATTAAAACAATTTTAAGGTATATTAAACACATATCGGTAATATTAAGAACATTAAAAATTCACAACTTGTTCAAATGTGTAGCCAAATAACGTTTTTTACTGAGTGTTTGATGAATTGTGTAATAAAGAGAAATGACAATGATATAATGACATCCAGTGAAGGACTTGTGCAGGCAGGAAAAATGCAAATGTTCTCTCAGGTGACAGTGAGCCAGTTTCTCAAAGACTCTTTGTGAGAACAACTTGGCCATCATGGAACATCTTGCACAAGATTGAGCAAACACAAACATGAGCAGAAAACACCTCAGGAGAAAATCTGAACGAAGGGAGCAAAACTGGGTTGCCACTTGCCAGTATTAAAGTTGCTTCATCTTTACCTAAACGACTAATACTAAAACTACTAAAATATGCATGCAATTTAGAACTTGATCAAGTTAACACAAATGGCCTATGGCTAATTTTGACATTTTTCTCTCTGAAACTTTAAGACACAGACATGCCATGCACTTAAGGCTTGTTTTATGATTATCTGAGGTTCAGAATGATGAGATCATCCACTCATGTCCTGACAAGAACACTTAACCACAAATTATACACCTGCAAAGGTAAGGTGGAAGCCCTGTTTATGACAACTCTGTCATGACATATAGAGGAGAAAGGCAAAACATTAATATTAATAAAACAATAATAATCAGTGACACCAGCAAAATGGTAGGTGAAATGTGACATGCAATACTAAATCTACCGTTTAAAATATCAAGTTACTAATTAGCTATTAGACCAGCGGCTTATATTACCCGATATCAATGGACTATATGTACTGTTTTTAATAATACAGACAGCTTAATGATGGGATTTGTCACACCGCACAGGACTATTTAAAATGTATTAAAAACATGAAACAATAACTAAAATACACTTAAAATTCATTGTTCCTTATCTTGATCTTGTTAATTAAAAAAGGTCAATTGATAGGTTGTCAACTACCCACACACAAAATATGCAAATTTATAGCTCTTTGCTATTATAAACTATTTAAATGACTGCCAGTCATTACTGTATGAAGACTAGCTAGATAATACTACTGTAGTTTGACTATTAAGCAGGCCTGTAAATAAAACCATGCTCAAATGCACAAATCTAATAATTTGACAGATGAAAAAAATATTTCATTTGACCTTGTTAGAAATAGACAAAACAAGAATGCAATTCATTCCTCCAAGGAGAAGACAACTCCCTGCATGATTCACATGTTGGGAATTCCCATGTATTCCTTCTTTGTACTTGATTGCAAAGTGATTATTTCAGATTTCTTAGTAACACACACACACAGAGAGTATCAGAATTCAGAATATTCCTATATAAATGTTTGTTCACTTTGCTATTGTCTTATGGAAATACTGGAGATGTTCACTTCCACCATTTACATATATTTCACATATTCCATTTCACTTATTCTGCACAATAATTTAATGTCCTGTTAAAATATAAGCACGCAAAACCAACTGAGTGCATCACAAAAAAGTGTCACGGACAAGTTTATAGTGCCTTCCTTTACGGTTTTATACACTGAATTAATGCATTTAAATGTTCCTTGTCTTGACACAGGTTAGAAGACTATATTTCAGAAAAAAAAGATTGTACATGTATTTTTGCTGTTTACATGCTTGCAACAACATTCAATCTGTATCTGATATTAATACTGCATTTATAGTAGTATCTTGCCATGATCCACATTTGAAGAATTGAATGCATACTGAACTACTGTACATTGACAAATGAAGAACTTCTGGTAGAGAACAGCACTAACAAATATGAAGGTCATGGGTTCAATTCTCGAGAAAATGCATAAAGTAAACAGACATGAAGTATTCACTTTGGAATGAAGTAGTGGTACTTATGACTTTAGTATTACAACTTCAAAACAAAAATCAAGAAATGTAAATCGGAATTCTTCAGCTAATCATACTGAAATTTAGGGTATTCATATAACTTTAGAAGAATAACTCCTATTTGTAAACACTTACAACTTCCTGGAGTTTGGTGAGCGAATCACTGAATCAAGGAAAGCGCAAACCAACTGCCTGCAAGTTTGCAACATACAATTTGACTAGTTCCTACATATCTGAAAAGCTGAAAATGGATTGCAGCAATACATACACAAATAAATAACATAACATTATGGCTTTTATAAACACACAGAACAGTGATTCAATGAAGCATTTGTGGAACTAATAGGGGTGGGAATCGCAGGGTACCTCACGATACATGGCTCACGATACGATAATATCGATACAGTGATTCTGCGATAATCGATATATTGCTAGACAATTCTATAATGATACATCACGATATCTGTCTAACTATGAAAACAAAATGCCTGTGAAAAGGTTAAGTGCAAGTTCTCTCTCTTTATTCAAGTCCAAACTGTTAGAAAGCAGCACAAAAGTTCTGTAAATCAAATTTAACATACTAAGGAAATTAATCATTTTATTCTTGGACTTACTAAAAGCTTGCATTTAACTGCTTATCAACTTCATATATAGCCTATATATAAACCTGGTACATTTCAAAATTTACCTGGAGTGCTTTCTCAACCTTTCCTCTCCTCTAATCATAAAAACGGAGCCCCGCGCACATGACATGCAGGGGGGAAAAAAGCCATTCACATTGTGTGTTTTGCGCGCTCAGGTTCGTTATTTCAAATGTAGACGCGCGGCAAGCAAACACACTGCACACTTCTGCGCCGCATTACGGCTCTGACGAGGTTTTGTTTCGTCGTCCATGCCATAAGTGCAGATGTTTCTGCTGGTCGGTGCCCTAACGCGCACTTGTAATATCTGAGAGCGAGGAGAGCATCCAGTTTTGTTGACAAAACTGGACGCGCCGGCGCCACTCTCTCTCACTCATATAGTGAGGGAGATTCACCTGCGATCCGAGCGGAGAGGTTAGGCTACTCACGGACTCCATATGTGCTCTGCAATAATAACGTGATCAATGCCTACAGTCCACGCTGATAGCTGTTCCGGGGCAGTTTTTTTTAATCGCCATCTCCTTTTATCTCCATAAACATATATAGAGTAGTAGAGTTAATACAGTGGCTGGAAATCTGTTTATCCTTCTGTTCCTCGTGCTTCCCCATCTTCATAGAGAATGCAGTTCATGGTTGCTCAGCTGCTTTGAAAAGAAGGTGGAAATGGCGCAGCTGCGATTTCCACACATTTTTTAGATGTTGGGAGCAGGGAAATCTACATAAAGCGCCTTATTGTAGTAATATATTGTAGTAAATTGTAGTATTGTATTGTAGTAAAATATCGATATTTGGCGCCAGATATCGATTCTCGTATCGCATGAAGGACAACGAAATATCGCCATATCGATATATTGTCCCAACCCTACTAACCAGGAAAAGTCTCACATTTGCCATGGGTTTCCCCACTACTAAGTGCCAGGAAAGACACAATTCCTGTCCTAATTCTCTTCTAATCCTTCTATCACCCTCCCTCTCTTGAAGATGGGCAGGTTGCTTCTGCCTGACCAATAAAAACATGCCTCTAAATGCACCATATACAGCAAACATACCCCTTGAACTAAAAAGAGTCAAGAAATGTCTGGGCCTGATCCACTCACTTAGGACCATGTGATATTTCAGTTTTTCTTTTTTAATAAATCTGCAAAAATGTCAACAATTCTGTGTTTTTCTGTCAATATGGGGTGCTGTGTGTACATTAATGAGGAAAAAAAAAGAACTTAAATGATTTTAGCAAATGGCTGCAATATAACAAAGAGTGAAAAATTTAAGTGGGTCTGAATACTTTCCGTACCCACTGTATATATATACTGTATATACTAATTGTGAGAGCAAGCACACCACAATGCTAGCAACAAAGAGAAATGATTTAACACTTTGTTTTTTTTTTTCTTTCCAGGTGATGAATGATAAAAACATTCACAGCCAAACAAAATCCTTCACGGAACATAACTGAAGTGCGTGCTTAGAATGAACAATGTCATCATCTGTTGGTGTGAATGCTAAAATAACTGAGAAAAGGCATACAGCTGGTGAGACACTAACAAATGCATGTGCATTCAGAGAAACTAAAAGACATGATTTCTAACAACAGAAGTCCCCTGTAGCACCAGCAGAGCAAAAAAATAAAAAATAAAAATAAAAAATACAGCCTTGTAATCATGAGTCTGCATTCATCATGTTCTCAAAGTCCACACAGAGTCACACTATAATATAAGTCATAACCCACAATGCCATGAGCATAATACAACATTTACACAATAGGGGTGTAACGGTACACAGATATGACCTCGGTTTTGACTTCATGGTTCAGCACAGTTTTGGTACAGCAGGGGCAAAAACTAAACATAAAATTGCTTTTTTTTTTTATAAAACAGTGGTTTACTGAACAAACTGCTCTTTCTTTAAATAAATGTAACTATAATTAAATTAAATTATATTATATTATATATATATATATAAATTATTTCTTAGGAATAAAAATCTACCTCATCTTATTCTCTAAACTACAGGGAGCCCTTTTACAAGGTTACAATTAACAACAGAGCCCAGATTTAAATTTAATTACTATTTATTTTTAAATATAATAATCAACGCTCAAAACAAAAATCTATGCAAAACATGTAAATTGCACATAACGCAGTTTTTAAATTAACTTCTAAATGATAAAAAAGTTATTTGTTGTTAAAATATAATCATTTACAGTGGCTCTCATAACTTTTTCATAACAGATTCATTTAAATATACATTAAATAATTAAGACAATAACTAAGTAAAATATAATGAGTATATAGTCTATATTTCACGAAAAGCTCTTCTCTAGACTTAATTTCTCTAGCGAACTGATGAGCTGTGGACACCTGATGTTTCCAATGAAGTTTCACTCATGAAGTGGTTAAACCAACGCTGTATTTGGTAGACATGCGGACCGAACCGAAAAACCCGTACCGAAAATTTTATAATACGTGTACAGTTACACCCCTATTACACACACAAGGATGCAAAGATTTCATCCATTCTTGTCATACTGCTTTTTTGCATTCATTGATGATCAACTTCAGGTTCTGAGTCAGGTACTGAGTCACATTACACTATTGTAATATTATTGACAATAAGGTTCATAGGGAAATAAAGACAGCCACATAAATAATCAGTGTTCTTCCTTCTAAAACTACCTGATGGTTCAAAAAAGCAACAATATAAATATTCAAGCCTGTATAACCAAAAGCTCAAATGCAAAACCTTCTATTTTGGATAATCCCTAAACCCCTGGCAAATCATTATCATTGTTCTTTGTTGTGGTGATTTTTTTTTCAGCATTATATTACAGGGTACAGTAATATCCATGGATAACTGTTGTTTTGGACACAAAGTCTTTAACTGTACAACCACACTAGAACAAAATAAAGTGCTGTGGTTGTACGAAGGTACAGTAACATCATGAGAAGGTAATAACATGATACTTGAATGCGTACCATTATAATGATAACAATATTTACATACCATGTTATTTACATGGTACCTCAACATAGTTCAAAGAACGCTACGGTATTATCTCAGTCCAAAACATGGCATTGCCATGAAACCATTTTATTACCATGGCACCCTGTCAGGCTTGAGAAAGATATTCTCAACGATTTGGCCATTTAATTTCTTGAAGGCCATGTCAAATTAGATTTGCCATCCATCTTTGCCACACATAAGTTGTAATAGCATTTCGGATTTAAACTTTAGTAGAAAACAATTGCAATAGAGTTGGTAAGTGATTCATTTCCATGTATTGGTTAAATTCATCTGCTTAAATCAACTGGTTTTCACTTGTTCCCCAGTGTTACCCAAGTGAAATTTAAATAAGGAAACATAAACATTGGTAAATATAAATATGGATTGATATATTAGTGCATGTGAAAGATAATGATTAAATATTAATGAAAAACATGTATTTTTAGCTAGTTATTTTATAGCCTTTTAAAAAAAAATTATTAAAAAAAGGATTTTGATTTAATATTTTTGGCATTTTATGCCTTTATTTTCGATAGGACAGTAAGTGGACAGGAAGCAAAGTGGGTGAGACAGAGAGGGGGATGGCATAGGGAAAGGTCCGGAAGCCGGGACTCGAACTCGGGACTAGTGGTCGACCGATATTGTTTTTTTGACAGCCGATGCCTATATCTTGGAAAGCAGGGGGGCCGATATAATTTGTTTTTAGAAGATATGGATTAAAAAATAAATGTGTAAATTAAACATACTTATACATTAGATGACAAAGTATTTTTCACAAATAAATAAATATTTAATAAAAATATAATTATTAAAAAGGGAGTAAACACTGTTTACATAATTAAAAAAATATTATAACTGATTAATTAAAAAGGGAGTAAACACTGTAACCAACAGGGCACTCAGTATTCTGGGACGTTTGTGTACATTGAGAGAAAATGGCATGAATATGACAGTAGGTAAATGCATAAAGCGCAGCATAATTTGAAATCACGAGTTTAAAGTTTAAAGCATTCAATTCACACGGACCGACCATCACACAGAGAACACACGATCATGCTGGATAATAATGCACACTTAGTTTGCGACTAAGTTTGCAAGGTTTGTGAAATTAAATGCTCATTAGTCATTCAAAGTTTTGTTTAAATGATGTAAATGTGTATTTGCTTAATGCTGACGGCAAACGAGAAAGTATTATAATGTTTGCCTTTCTATTACTAATAATATAAAAGCAATCGTTATATAATACTTTTTGTATACATTAATTCCTTTGTTTAACCGTTCTATCTGGTTATTAGACAGACTTCTATCCGTATTAGACAGAACTGTTAACAACGACAGTAAACAAGAGGGAGAATGTGAGTACTGTGTGCTCAGGCGCTGCCGTTCTCAGCACCGTCAAAATAAAAGTCCCGCCTCGAACACATCGGCCAAGCACAAAAACTTATCGGCCAATGCCGATATTTGAAAAATGCCAAATATCCATAATAGTGCCAAATAGACCACTACTCGGGACACCCAAAGCAATTTTTTTTAGCAATTTTAATCTTATAAATTATGGTTTGTCAGATTAAACGACAAAAAAAAAATCTATAAACAAGTTAATTGTTTTAGCCATTTCAGTGCAAATAAAGAAATTTTGAATTGTTAAATGGCTGGAAAATGTCAAGATATAATTTTTAAGCTATATCGCTCAGCTCTAGTACTACTACTACTACAAAAAAATAAAAACATGGTTGTACTATGGTAATTTTTCAGTACAATTTTGTCAGTGAATAAAAACAAAAGCTACAATAAATACAAAAGCTAAAGAGACAGATGGAGTGAATTCAGCCATACCTACAACCTCCTCTGGGTCCTTCACCACTATGTGCGCATTCAGTTCCTGAAGCTCCTGGTGCAGTTCCTCCACCTTCTTGTTGGACTTTTTAAGCATGTTGTCCACATAAGCCAGACTCTTCTTATCTGTGGTCACCTTCTTCAAGTTCTCAGCTCCTTCTTTGATCTTCAGCTCTTTGCGGATCTCTCGTTTTATCTGGTCCTTGATCTCATCCAGCTTTTGTTGGACCATGGTGTCCGAGAGGTCCAGATTTTGGCCAAGACCAAGACGTTCTGAAACCATCTGACCCCGAGTATCACCCTGAGGAGCAGGAGAGAGAAAGATATAGCAAAAATGTTTACACTTATTCGAGGCATTCAGAGACATGGAATGCATCCTGGAATGTAGCATCATTCTCAAGATGCAACGTAACGGCAAGGTCTCTGAATAAGTGATCTGCATTGTGTGAGTAATATCCTTCTATGCTGCAGAATGATGGAAATTCACTTTCACATACACGCTGGTGCGTATGATCCGGTTCAGGTTGTTATGCAATGGAATAAAGCACCAGCTAATCAGCTTGAGGAGGCCCAGAGATCTCACAAGAACAATGCAACACCTTCAGACAAGCACAAGGGTCTGTGACAGAGTTTACATGATAAAAAAAGCACTTTTATACCATTTTCAATAAAAGTTTAATTTTTAATGACTCTAAAAATATCATGTGGTGTAACCATCAAGCCAAAAATAACTTATTTTCCTTACACCTTAAATACATGTGAGCATACATATGCATTATTTAAAAAAATTTTTTTTTTACATTTATTATATTTATGTATTTATATTTACTGTTACCTGTCAAATTACCTGTTTTTTGTGTTTTTTTTAGAGACAGGAAACAATTGGAAAAAAGTGAGGAGAATGGGATCAAGAGCGGCCCAACAAATATAAATAAATAAATAAATAAATAAATATATATATATATATGTATGTGTGTGTGTGTGTGTGTATGCATTTTAATTTTTAAGGGACTTATTGACATGATGAACAGTCATCATGAAGGTTTGCTAGGGTCCTCTGTATAATGTCATTTTTATGATTTTTATTTTACTTTTCCTGAATGAACCACATGACTTTGATTTGGGCAAAGTTATTATTTTTTTTAATAAAAATGTGAAATTATCTACCTTTAGCTTGCTCAGTTGGGACTTATAAGACAACTAATATTCAGAAAATATTGTCAGTCTCACTGTACTGACACTAAACAGAGCTGGATAATGAAACCAATGTCTCCTGTAGAGCTGCATTTGAGGTTGTTTCATAATTGATTAACTCCGCCATACTAACAGTGAACTGAATTGAATCAAACTGAATCAGAATTGAGCTAATTAATGTCACTATTGTCTTCTGCAGAACTGCTTTACAGCTGAAAATGAAGTGTTTTAAAATAGATGAATTTTGCAGTATTAATACTGTTATTGTCATTTATTACTGTAAAGCTGCTTTGAAACAATCTGTATTGTATAAAGCACTATTATATAAATCAGTGGCCCCCAAACTTTTTGCAGCGTGTAGCCCTTTCTAATGTTTGACACGTGTCAAGAACCCCCACCATCTTACTCAATTAAACACCACATTTTTAACTGCAATAATACAAATAATATTCACTGTATGCAGGGCTTGCCTAACTTTTTTGCTCATCAGCCACTGTGGCTAGTGGTTTTCCAAAATTATCCCCTCAGTATTTTCACTGGCCACAATTTTGTTTTTGGGAAATTACGTTTCATACAGAAATAATATTTTTTAAGTTACTGCTTACTAAAATTTATTTAAATTGATTTCCAGTCATCTTTAATCTCAAAATCTTACATATTTCATATAATTTCAGCATAAATAATAATTAATGCTTTTTAATAATCATAAAGCTTGGTGTTTTAAATCAGTTATTTTTTTAATATACAAATGTGAAATGTTCTTCTTTTAAATATGAAAGTAGAGACCTGCGCGGGACGCATTTTTCAGTCCCGTTCCCGCAAGATTCTGTCCCGCGCCAGCCCGCTCCCACAGAAATATATTTAATCTGGTCCCGCTCCCGCCCGCGACATTCATGCTTTGTCCCGCTCCCGCCCGCATAAAAGTAATCTATATAGATTTTTTTTCAGTACATCGAAGAAATTTACATAAAATGGTTCTGTAATATCTCCTAAGCTCCACAACATACCAGCATAAACGCTCCCGATAAAATATTTGTTATTTAGGCTAAGCATCAACATTCACATCAACAAACCACTGTTATTTTTAACAGAAAAGCAAGCATGTGCTGCTGCGTGCATGGTTTGGCATGGCAGAATGAGAGCAGGACTTCCTTTATTATCACTAAAAGCTGTTAGCTGTTAATCTCAGTTAATCGCAATCTCATAAAGCTCTGTTATATCACATTAAATATATGCACAATGAATCTTTCACAGTGTCTACACTTTGTGTGTTAAAATGAGAGGATTCGTGAGCACGCAATTTCAGCACTGCGGTGAGTAGATTCTAACTTAATCACCTCTGATTGGCCATTGCGTTCCAGAAATCAACAGCGGAGTCTGTGATTGGCTACATTGCGCAACCTTTTAAACACGTGTTATAAATAGAAACTGTGCCTAGCTTGCGCATGTCAATCATTTTAATGTTAATATTAGTTGTTCTTTTTGCTTTTGTGCAACAGATAAATAACAATTTATATGTTTAGATAATTTCTATTTTGCGGGAGTCCCACGAATCATTTTATTCTCCTGCATCCCGCACACACACACAAGTCTTTTCCCGCCCGCACCCGCACTCGCCCATCAAGAGTTGTCCCGCGCTGCACCCTGTTACATTGGGTCCCGCTGTCATCCCGCGGGAGTGCAGGTCTCTATATGAAAGTAAACCGGCAGTAGGTGACAGCAAATGACTGTCTTATTGAGTGAGTCATTGAGGCGTTCATTCAAGCGATTCGTTTAGACGGCTGATTCATTCAAGTGAAGCAAGTGCTTGTCTTTATGAATGGACCATCATTGACTCAATCAATTCAAAAACACTGAATCATTCAGTAAAGAAACACCGCAGTGTGTTGCTAAGAGATGCGCGACTGACTGTTCTGCTGTGATCTTTGTTTGGAACTATTTTCGTTAACCAAAAATTTTGCAAAAACAGTCAACATTGACAATATTCATGAAAGGTTCATATTTTGGTTTTAGGAGTCCCCAACAACAGGTTGACATGCATGCAAGGTAAAAAAAAACACTCTCATTGCCTTATAATATGCATTTATTTTTACCTTACTTGCTCAACGACTCCCAAACGATTCGTTTAACGATTAATTTTTCTAAACCCCTCCTTTGCGTGACACTAATCTGAGGTGATTGGTCCGATTGGTCTCATTTTCATTTCATCATGCCTGCAATGCCTGATAAAGCAGCTTGTGAGCAGTGCTGCTTTGTGTACAGCGTTACCGGGGAAACAGCTATTTTTACAGCTCCAAAAGCGGCACCTAGTGGCAAAGAATGAATTAGCATTTTCATTCAGACCAAGTTTTCAAGTTTTCCCGGGTTTACGTGTGCAACAAGTGGGTGGGCAATATGCTGACGTCAACATGAAACGGCTTAGGATTAATTAAAAAAAACGACTCGTTTCAATGATTCAGAGTCGACTCTTCTTTTGAGAGACAATAACTTTATACACATCAAATTTAAAACATTTAAAACATTACAATTTCAGCCATAAATAAAAAATTATATTTAAGAATACTACAACTTACTACCCTATTTAGTGAGATATCTGGCCCTGTATGTTTGCTAGGGGTGTAACGATTCACTAGTTTTCTCGATGCATCGATTACAAACCCTGATGATGCAATGCATGATGCAATGCAAATCAAGTTCAACTGACAATCATTTTCCACCTTAGGTTGGTTCAGTGCACCTTCTCACTACAGTATGGCCTGAAGTTCTCAAAGTTCACACAAACATGCCAGCACGGTGAATGAGAAGACCCCTCCTGAGAAAGATTTATAGACATACAGCAAACATGGGGTTTGGCATTCAGAGCACGTGTTATCAGCAGGGTGGGGTCAGCACACAGATCACTGACTGAGGAGCCCAACTGCTTCAAATCAACTAGATGTGACCACACAGAGCGAAAAACAAAAACAAATGGTGCGATTTAAAACTAGAGGCTTCCTGAAAAAAAGGGAAGAATAAACGTCTGGAAGGTCACCACAAGCTTTAAAGAGCAACAGTCCATAAATCGTAAAGCTAGAGCTAAGTCTATATCTAGAAGAAATCATATCAGTTTCAGCAGCGGTTGAAGAAAAAAAAATAAATACATTTACCAATGCATCACACTTTTTCTAACATTTATTTTGATAATTGATATTGATAATAGTGATATATTTATGGATGCTATATGCTATGTGCAAAATTGGTTAAAATATAAACATTACATTTTAAAACATACCATAGTAAAGAAAAAAGCACAGACTAGACACACACATTCACTATGAATATATTAATTAGATTACATTTAGGCCTATATCCCATTACAACAATTCCTTTAGAGTAACTACTCTCATAAAATTAGAATGACTTGCTACATTTTTAAACCTACATTTAAATTTTCTAAAATAAATAAATAAATAAAAATGCATATTTAATATAACAAAACATGCATTTTAGTCAGAATAACTGTGCTTCTTTTTTATTGCACTTATTCAGTGAAGTCTGAAGTTTAATGAAGACCAGCCTTTTTGCAAAATGAAAAAACTTGCACAGTTGATGTTTTTTTTT